TAGGAGTTTGCTATCCACCTCGTTCTTCTATACTCCGTATCCCTTCAAGGTGTAAGAGATCATTGGTCTCCCCGTCTTCCTATCCTTTGTAGCTATTAGGAATATGTCTTTTTTTTATTTTCTCCCCTAGTACCTGTTCTATAATTCATTCACACAAGCTAGTTATGTAGTTTACTTGCTTTTGCCTGTTGTCTTCAGTACGTCCTCACATGTGTTCTAAATTTTTCAACTGTCTCTTTCAGATTGTAAGTATACGAGTTCTTTTCGTTTTCATTTGCCTTACAATTCCATGCTCTCTACATTTTATTCTCAGCATTCTTCTGGAGAATTGCATGACTAGTACTTGAAGCCTTCTCTTCATCTGTGAGGAAATTGTCCAGCGCTTACTACCATATAGGCAGTTTGATATTGTAGCATTTCAAAACTCATTTCTATCTGAACGCTAATTAGGACAAGATTCAATATATTTCTTGCGCATTTCTTTCATCTTTAGACCTAATATAAGTACATATTTAGACATATTTCAAACATTTAGCTGTAATTGCCATATGTGAATAGAGGAAAGATCTGCAAGCCAAAGTTCGACAGCTTTTATGGTCTGACTGGATCACCGCCACCTGACTGTTACTGCCTCTGCTTCCTTGTGTAATTAGCACCGTTATAATACCGCAAATTACAAACACTTAAAGTTAAATCCGTTCCATTTAGCTTGCTTCATTTACCAGTGAAAATTTATCATATGGGGCGAAAAGTGATAGTGATTTAAAAGACGGAACCTAAAACATTTGCATTATTCCTTGGGTATGATACTTTCTACTCTGTCGTACATGCTTTTGAATTCCTTATACGTTACGTTTGTGGTTTATTAACTCGGTTCATATTTTTGCACTATAGAGTGGAATCTGCTTTTTTCTATGTTATGTATATCTTCACTTTTATATGGATAGCCTCACGGATTTGAGGAATCGAAGAGCCGAGTTCGAATTCCAGTCGAATCCATTATATTCACTTACGTACTAATACCCTTGGGAAAGGTATGAATCCTCTTCTCTCCACCCCAGTTATGGGTAAATAGAAGGACAGAACGGGTTCTATAGCCCTGGATGGCAACTGTTCTGCCACAGAAAGAAATGACAACCTACTGCAGGGAAGAAAATCTACCTCGTCAGTCATGTATGGAAAGATAAATGATCGCCTAGACGTGTATCACGCATGGCATATAACTGACTGATTGTTGGTTCTGATGGCTTTTTTCCGCTGTTGTGATAAGAAATTCAATTACATACTTTAGTTGTTTGCGTAAGTATAATCTTTTTTTTTTATTTTTTGTTTTCACTATGAAAATTACTGTCTTTTAAAAGCTTAATATTTATTTAACCTCAGTTATTTTGTTTCAAATTCAGAATGGGCAAAAACTGGTTGTGGGAAATGGTATTGCTATAGTCGACAAATCAGAGATGTTTTCCTACCTTGAAAAATCAGAAATTTGAGAGTTTTGCTATTTACCGACGCTCGATTATCGATCACTGACTCTAGTCGAAAAGACACAACTACTTCAACCGAATTCGCTATGAGAAATGTGTTGATTGTTTCCCTGAAAAACAAATGAAGAAAGATATCCTCTAATGTGACCGCTTGCCGAAAATAATGTATCCAATTTCCTGCTTCTTTCGTTTCAAATTTTTCCTGATGCCCGAAGAGAATCGAACAAAACTAAACAAAAAAAAAAAACGGGAATGAAAAAAATCTATATTGACATGTTTATTTGACGAAAGTAGGGTGGCATGCGTAAATCCAGCACTTCACCTTTGATAAGTGTTTGCACGATATTGTCTTCCGTGGTGCAGGCCACACTGACTGCGAATAAGTCTTCATCCCCCGTTTGCTCAAGGCCACACCCTTACTAGATCCAAATAAATCAGATTTGAAACTAGGAGAGAAATGCGGCTTTTATCGAGTAGGCACCGCAGTAAACGTATATTGCCTTTTACAGATATTGACATTGGCATCAGTCTTTCTTTCTTGACGTTTGTAGCAGATTGAAATTCTTTTGCTTTATAGATATGTTCTTAGCCAACCTTAGAGTGTCAAAAGTACGACTGGGTGTTAAATAAAGCTTTCATAAGAACGCGTTGCACCAATCCTCAAGCCTGTTTGAAACCAGGATTTTGTACCTCATTCCGTGAGGTAAAACCAAGCTCGTTACAATCACTTTCGCCTAAGTACCAGTGCGAAAGGTATTAATCTCTTGCTCTCCCTCCAGTTTTGGTTTAAAAGAATCAGTGATATTATTGGTACTGATCTGGCATCTTTGCTTCAATCACTTTCCGACTGCCATAAAGTTGCCTTCCTGTGCCTTTTCTATAAATATTTTCATGGTAATTGTTCAGATGAACTTTCCTCTCTAGCACCTAGACTTTATAAATTTAACCGTAGTACTAGAGTGGCGGCAAGGTCTCATTATTTTACAGTTGAAATGGCGAGAAGTAACCATAAGTTTTATGCTAACAGTATCCTTTCTCGCACTTCTCTTTTGTCGACTTTTATCTTCAAATATTTAAATGCAATGTCAATCGTTATGTTCTGTTTTCTTCATTTTTATTCTTTTATTGTTCTCTCTCCGTTTTTTTTTCTCTCACATTCTGTAACACTCAGTAAACTCTTTGCATCTTAGCGGCTTTATTGCCTTGGTTTCATGGTAATTATCCAGATGAGCTCTTCCCTATGGTACCATTACTTTAGGAATTTAAGCATAGTATTAGACTGGTGACGCGATTTCATCAATCAATTACTTGAATAGATGAAATATAAACGAAAGAACATTAAATATATATTAATAAATTTATATATATATATATATATATATATATATATATATATATAATGATTTAGGTTCGCTAGATGTAACGGTAAGTTTTACGCTAACAGTATCCTTTCTCGCACTTCTCGCTTGTGGAATTTCCTCCCGTCTCCATGCTTTCCAATCAACTTTAATCTTTAATAATTTAAATTTAATCTTTATCTACTGTCCTCCTGATTACTCTTTACTTTTTTTTTCGCTCCTTAGTAATGGTTTTATTTTCTAATTCTTCCACACACCTTTTGGGGCTTAGTGGTTTTACTGCGTTGCTTGTGGCGAACTCGGTTACAAATAAATAACAGGGCAGACTGGGCTGTGTAGTCTTGGTTGGCAGTCAGTCTAGGAGTAGGACAGCTCAGAATTTTAGAGCCCAGATTAGGCACACTAAGTGCACCATTTCTCTGTTATCAGTTTTATTTTCCCCTAAAAACATGGCTGGTTTCTATAATTTCTATAATCAAATCATATGCATGGATAGTCAAGTGGTTCAGTTCTAAAGGTAAAGCTCAATTGATAGATTCTTAGATATGTTGAAATCGGTGGAAGAGTCCTATAACATCAATCAATTAAGTGACAAATACTATATTTGTATTAATCATACACACACGCATACATACATACATACACACACACACACACACACATATATATATATATATATATATATATATATATATATATATATATTGTATTTTAAGTTTGATTTTTGATTAAATTTTAATTGAAGTTTCAGTTTTGAAACCAGGGAATTTCAGTGTTGCGATGATAATATATGTTTAAAAACACACACACATATATATATATATATATATATATATATATATATATATATATTAAAAATGTACGAAGTCCGACAATTATTTTAAGACATTTTATGTTTAACATTCTTTTTATACAAATATTTTTATGTTTAAAATTCTTTTTATACAAATATTTAAGTAAATGCTCTGTTTATAATAAACAGTATTAAAGAACATTTACCGGCCTGAATGTCCGAGAAATTTCCACAGGTTCGAATCCTGTCGGAGGACGAATATTTTTTGTGAAAATTTATCGGACATTCAGGCCGGTAAATGTTGTTTAACACTATTTATTATAAACGGAGCATTTACTTAAATATTTGTATCTGTAAAAAGAATGTTAAACATAAAATATTTAAAATATATATATATATATATATATATATATATATATATATATATATATATATATGTTAGTGACACAAAGGACATAATGATCAATATTACATGATGAGCACCAGTGTCTGTTAGCGCTAATACTCTGTTGTAGAGTACGAAAAGTTTTTTCTTCCTCCGTATGAATCCGAATCCCTCGTCACCAAAGTGTTATAGAGTAGTTTCACAGTGGAGGCTTATATTTCACTAAGTCGGTCCTAAAAAGGCTCGACGTACAAAACGTTAGGAACTTGTTATAAAAGTTAATGACGCAGCAATCTAGTTGTGGTGGTTGATACATTAATGTCCGACTTCGACTGACTCACTGAGCTCATTGGCGACTGCTACTACTACTACTTACTATATGTGGGAGAGTCTATTAACAATAGAATAGGTATGTTCCAGTATAACATACTCCTTTGTCGAGCTTTATATATAGGTCTCTGATGGGATTAATCGAAGTGGAGCAAGGATGAAACCATCCTTTCCCAGGTCTTTGTTCATGATCATGACTTCAGCATTACTTATTACCTGAATAGATGAAATATAAACGAAAGAGCATTAAATATATATTAATAAATTTATATATATATATATATATATATATATATATTTTTAACAAATGAAGAAGGGTCTGGGGGCAATAGAAGGATGCCCAGTAAACAATACAGCGAACATATGAGCAACGATAAGTTTTTGGGAAAAAATGGAGAAAGAATGGATTACTGTATTAAGAATCAGAAAGCGACAATTGGTATTTCTACGGTACATAACGAGGAAAAAAGTCTTGGAGAATTTTATATTCAGACGTCATATTGAATGTAAGAGGGATAAAGAAAAGCAGAACACGGATTAGGTGATATAACCAAGAAGAAAAGTGCTACAAAGGATTTGTATTTATGGAGAACAATGATAACCCACGCCCTGAAGATACACAGCTCATAGAAAAAAATACATATCAAAACTTACAGTATCTTGTATTCCCAAAAGGTCACCAGCTAGGTACTGACCAGACGCGAAGTTGCTTAACTTTGGCGATCGTACGGGAACCGGTATTACAAAGTGATATGATGCAACCCATGGTTCTGATGTATGCTATATTTATGGGTAAAAGTGCTCAGTATAGGCAATATATCCTATGTAAATATCGAATATAAAAGTGAAAAGTGGGGTCAACGCCAAGAGGAGACTGTTCGTTTTATACTTAAACTCAATCTTCAAGCCTGAAGAATGACTTCAAGCATGAAACATATATCAGTACAAAATAATGAACTCGATCTCATGTCTATAAAACATGTAATGTTAGTAATAAAATCAGTTTATACAAGTGTACCACACTTAACATTTCTGCTTGTATGCAAAATAAATATACAGGTAGATCGCAAGTATTATGAAACCTTTGGTTCCAGAACAGTGCTTGAATATCATGTAAGTTACCTAATAACAATTTAATAATACTCCACTGACAAACTAATTATTCATCTCTCAAATCTCCATAGAAACATCGACAGTTAGAAACTCATACTAAAATACATTTGGCCAACAGCTGAATTAATCCGTTAAAAGTGTGGAATTCAATACTTGCGCGTAATTTTGTCCTGATTAAAAGAGGTACTGTGGCATCATTTGCCGGAAAAGCGGTAGTCTGACGCTAATCCAATTACAAGTTTTATACGCCTTTGAAATGCACAGAACTAACTCTTCCAACGGAAAGCAATACTTCATTTTTATTACTAATGAAAGTCTCATTTGAAAGAATAATTAAAAACGCAATATATATATATATATATATATATAAACGGCATATACAGACGATGACTTGTTTGAAATGCTACTCGTCAAGTCTTTGAACATTTGTTCACTCTTAACGGTTGCCAAAATTATACCCGGGGAGTTGGACTCGATTGCATTTCATTTAGGAATTTCTATTTGGTTTGGCGCCCTGGTAGTTCCGACCAGAAGCATGTATTGCAGGCAGAAACTTTACTTGCCATAGAGGGTCAGACAATCCTTTTCCCGGTGCTTGTACGTTGACTCGCTGCCAAGTTTACAACTACAAGTTCTCAGTGGTTGTGCGATGACTTGAAAGCTCCCACGCGGATTCTATTTCTGGCTACGTCATAGTGATTCACTTTATTGTAAAATCTACGCGCAGAAGAAAAAAATCCTAAGCGTTATTTGCTGATATATTAATAAAGTATGTTTCTTTAAAAAAAAAAAAAAAAAAAAGTCTTTTTCTTCTTCTGTATTCTGTGCACCTTCTAGACGCTAGCAATCATGACTCTCCATAATTTCCTATCATTTGTAGCTCTTAATAAATTGTGTCTTTTTGTCATCTCTCTTAACTGCTTTATCCAAGAATTATTAGAGTATTAAAGATAGACGTTTCACCCCACAAATTAAATGGGATGTCATCTGTCGGTCTCAAACTCCACGTGTGCGTGTGTGTTGCGCACCAGTGCATTTCTTATCACGCGTCTTTGTGTTTTTATATGAGGTTATATGTATGATTGTCTTGTTGACGTATACATCATCTATAATTTTAAATTAATATTTTTAATACTATTATTATTAGGTGTATCTTTATTATGCTTATCCTTCTATGTTTATGATATAATGGTATATGCATACACCTGTGTTTCCCTCACTGGAATATGATTGGCTGGTGTCCGTCATAAATACCGACGGACGTGTAGGTACGAGAGTCAAAAGAGCCTTAGTCTGAGAGCTAAGTCCGTAACAACGCCCATTGGACTATGCCATTTATCTACTCTTCTTACCTGCGACTACGACGCGTACCAGTCGATTATTGCTACCGTATTCTACTTGGTTATAGTAGCCAAAACCACTTAGCTACTTCGTTCAAATATATCCCTTTCCGTGACTTATCAGTTTATATTCTAAATTTATCTACATTTATCTATATATTGATTTTCTTATTTATCTGTGACCTATTATTTTAATTTAATTTAATTTATTTATTTATGTTGAATATTTCTATTATTATTATTGATATTTTTATTAGTGTTAGCTTTACGAGACAATTTCATTTGAATTTGCGAGCATTTTTGCTGCCTAAAATAACAAAGATCTATCAGACAATTTGCTGTTACCCTTTCAATTCCAATCACATACCATATCACCCCATGTCCGTGCTTGTTCAAGCCTTTAAGGAAAAAAAATTCTTGGCTTTTTTAGTTTTACTACTACAGTGTAACCCGGATATAAAAGACCCGGATATAAGAGAAACCCGGATATAAGAGAGATTTTCTCTGGTCCCAAATTAGAGCATGTGTTAATGTATATAAAATAGACCAAACCCGGATATAAGAGAAACCCGGATATAAGAGACTTCTTCTCCGGTCCCGACAACTCTCTTACATCCGGGTTACACTGTCTCTCATCATTTATTTATTTATTTATTTCTTCTTCCCTTTTCCTGCATTCACTCTCTCTCACTCCCTCACTCTCTCTCACTCCCTCACTCCCTCATTCCTCTCTCCCTCCCTCCTCCCTCCTTCTCTCATGCCCTCTCCATCTCTCCCTCTCTCACTCACTCAATCCCTCTCACTCCCTTCCTCTCTCTCTCCCCTCTCTTCCCCCTCCCTTTCTCTCTCACTCTCGCCTTTCCTCCCTCTCGCTCTCCCTCCCTCTCACCCTCTCACTCACTCACTCTCTCACTCCCCCTCTCTCCCTCTCCCTCTCTCACTGTGTGTTTGTTGAAATGAGTTCTAATAGATCTGTGGTCGGATAGGTGTAATGTAAGTCGTTTGGATAGGCATGTAATAGTGTGACCGATGTAATTATTTATAAGCGCACGAAATTACAGAACATCTGAACGGTTTCTACATACTCTTTGTTCAGACAAGAATACATTTGTTCGAACACAAGAAAAATTAAATAAAATCTTAATCGCAGTACCTTATCTGTTGTCTTTAATGAAACATGTATAAAAGAGTGATTGCTGCCTAAATACACACACACATATATATATATATATATATATATATATATATATAACTACAAGTAATACTACATATACATGTAACAATATGCATATGATCATTGAAATATGAATGAATAGAAATCAATAAAAAAAATTAAATTATATAAACTTACTGTTAATTTAATTTGGACAGATTGAAAGGTGTTGGTTCAGCAAGAAGGCTTCGTATCATTTAGCGTTCAACAACACCTACCAGTTAACACTTTCGCAAATGTTGAACTAATTCAAGAAAATTACCTAATCTAGGTCACAGAACAAGTACGAGTAATCACGAAGAAAAGGAAGAAGACTTTCGAAGGCTGCCGTTCCAGTAAATCTCAGATCATTTAAAGAAAGAACAAAGCTGTGTAATTATCTCGACGTTTCGAGAGAACTGGAACACGTTGTAGAATATGGAGGTGAGAGTAAGATGCATTATTTGTGGCATACGTAGAACAGTTTCGAAATGAAATGCAACTGGAAAACGGTGTGAAAAATAGAGGTGAGTGGAGTACACGTTATTTGTGGTACACAGTTCGTCAAAAATGCAACCAAAAAGATATTGTTGAATATGAAACTTAAGATAGTACTCATAATTAGTAGAACACTTGGGACAGTTGCAAAGACCTTTGCAAAAAAAAAAAAAAAACTGGAAATCGTTGTTATCTATGAAATTAACAGTAGTATTCATTATACATAGAACACTTGGAGCAGTTTCGAAGAACTTCACAACCAAATGAACCTGAAAATATTGGTAAACCCTGAAAGGAACGAAGCCATTTTGATATTGCACTAATAAAATCAGGGCGAGTATTATCGACAGTGCTGAAGTCGACTGAATTTTCGCCGAATGTCATAAGGCATTTCTTGTATGAATACTGAATGATTGTAGTTAGTAATAATATGAATATAGTAGTCACAATGATTGTAGTTAGTATTAATATGAATATAGTAGACACAATGATTTTAGTTAATAATAATATGAAAATGGTAGTCACAATGATTTTAGTTAATAATAATATGAAAATGGTAGTCACAATGATTGTAGTTAGTATTAATATGAAAATAATAGTCACAATGATTGTAGTTAGTAATAATATAAATATAGTAGTCACAATGACCAGGAAAAAGGGAACACTGATATCCTTAAAAAGATTTCCATACCTCTCTTATCCCATGTATTGTCTCCCTTCTGGACGTCACAATCACAGTTCTCCACAGCTTCCTGTCTTTTGTCGCTTATAGTAATGTTTGTCTGTTCGCTATCTCTTCTAATCCCTGATCTGTCAACCATGACACAATCTCGTTAGGTAGGTTATTCGCTGCTTTCCTCTGTCTTTCTCGCCTTCAACAGGTCCTGTGATTGTCTAATTCTCTAAGCTCTCTTTCCCAATTATCTGTCGTAAGAATTTCAGTTGTCTCTAGAATTTTCAGTGAACATTTAAATGATCAATAACCATCTTTTCACACATGGGCTTCTAAGGATCGTAAATATAAATTTATTTCTTTAAAACTTCCTTGTTGCTCACAATCCCTACCAACAGTTTTCTCAGCATTGTGGAAATTGTCATTAAGAGGATTTATATTCTATAACAGCTCATGTTGTTTCTATCTCTTAATACATTATTTATCTTTTAGAACGTATCTGAGTTTATTCGAACGCACCTTTGAGCTTCGATGTCATATTTTCCGTCATGTGTTAGAAAATTCCCCAGATATAAAGATTTTTTATTATTTTATTCTTACGTTATTTTTATATACATTCATGTAAATCTACTTAATACTATTTATTTTAAACGGAGTATTTACTTAAATATTTTTATCTATAAAAATAATGTATAAACAGAAAATATATTACTATGTATATATATATATATATATTGATGCGTGTTTCCTTATATATAGACAAGTTTTGTATTTATTTAATGCAAATTCCTTTCATATCGACTGATAAGTTTAATAACATTATCATTGAAAGACGAACGAAAATCACCATATTGATACATGTTTTATAAACCTGTCTAAGCTTTCGGCTTACATAAGCCATCATCAAATATCACAATAACATTACAATATATTAAACAA